GCGCACGTGAAGGTGTAAGTCGTGGAATGCTGAAAGTTGGAGGTCGTTGTCTGTTGCAGATTAAACTTTTATCTTTTTGGCCACAAAATTAATGACTTGCACACGCTACTCTGAAAAAAAACTGCTGCTGCCAGTTGTGCATTGTCAAGCTTAACTAACTGTGATGACACGTCAAATTCTGAATAACTTGCACACATTTTTCTAAAATTTGTGCACATTACCTTGCCATTAATTACTCCTCAAAGCGCTTGTGTCCTTCTAGGTATAACGTTACGAAGCTCGGTTTTCATAGTCATCACTGCCTTCATTCTCTTCCACACACTAATACCCATCAGTCTGCCCGTGACTCTTGATGTTGTTCGCCTCATTCAAGCACAGTTTATCAGCCTGGTAAGTACTCTGACCTATCCTGCTGGTGTGTTTCCTCAATTGCGTCTCAACTTTCCGTTTGCTAACCCGATGCTCATGTTCTGCTTCCACTCCCCCCCATCAGGATCGTGAAATGTATGATGAAGAATCAAACACGCCTGCCGTGGCTAGAACTTCAAACTTAAACGAAGACCTTGGACAGGTATGTTGAGCAGTAACGCGTAAGCTTATAAACTACGAGTCAGTGAAGCTGTCCTTTCACTTTTGAATACTGCTGCAGCCCTGGGGATAGAAGAACTGCGGTTTTATTAGGCAAAACTTGCGAAGTACGCAGCCCCCTGTAGTAGTTGGTCGATACATATTACACCAGCAATCATGTCGTTGCAAGGCCGACAGTTCACTACAACCTGTTCAAAGGCGTCAGCCATCTGGAATTGTGCTCACTTATGTCTGCATCAACCGTGTACGTAACTGGATGGCGAGTTTGATCGACTGTCCGACAAGGAGAATTGAATTCGGGCCATGAAAACCTTAATTTTGAGCTGATTTGCTGCACTCAGCTCAGGCTAACAAAACTAAACCCATGGAGGGAGGTAGGCTGGGCCGTGACCAACTTTCTCAGCCGAAGAGGATGGGAGTCTTGTTCCTGTCGGTTGAGGGAACAGCACTTCTATGTGACACGGGAGCCTACCCCAGTATCATCCAGCTAATGTGTACATCGCTGCTACTCTCCCGAGATGATG